GTATGCACCTGTTACGTACTTAAAATGAGAGTATGCACCTGTTACGTACTTAAAATGAGAGTATGCACCTGTTACATACTTAAAATGAGAGTATGCACCTGTTACATACTTAAAATGAAAGTATGCACCTGTTACATACTTAAAATGAAAGTATGCACCTGTTACATACTTAAAATGTTAGTATGCACCTGTTACATACTTAAAATGTTAGTATGCACCTGTTACACACTTAAAACGTGAGTATGCACCTGCTAGGTATGAACATTTTCTAAAAAAGTATTTTTTTCTGGGAAGTATCACATGGGAAAAATGTTCAGATTGTGCTCTTTAGTCACATGCAACTCATTGTATCAAAATGATTCAATGTACAGAGCTCAAAATGTTCATACATTTAACTGATTTAATATATATATATATATATATATACATTACAGCTTATAAGTGGTACTGTTTATTGAAAATATAATAGTTTTTTTTTAAGAACTCCAGTTTCTCAGTACTAGATTTGAAAAATTACATCAATAAAGATATAATCAAACCCTCACATAATACAGTCCTAGTGAAAGTCATCTTCTTCTTGTGAGGAGAGTAGTTTTATTCAAAACTGTGATCTATTATAAAGAAATGGTTGTTGCACATATCACAGTTATTTTTCTAACTGTCTGAATTGTCCAAAGTGTGAAATTTTTTATGGATTTTAGTTTGTGGTGCCATTTAATAGATGGAGTTTTGGTCACTTACATAGATATTGACATACACACTATGTAAATAGTAAGATTAGAATTTGATAACTAAAGTATTAAAACTTGTAGTATTATTTCCATACTATCTGTAAAATAAACTCTTCCTACCTCTGGCCCAATGAACAGGGTACAGATTCTTCCACAACTGAGGTTCATGAGCTGCTTGGTTCCACAACTGGCAAACTTCAGAACACTTTAATAACTCTTGCGGTGAAAGATAAGAAAATATCACATGAACTACCTCTAGAGGTAGAAGAGAAAACCAATATGGTTTTATCCATTCTTCTTCTTCACCATTTTCTAGAGAAGAAAACTGACAGTCAGCATAAGCACTGCATATAAAACAATAAAGTATATTAAAATAATGCATTCTTTTTACTCATAAACATTCTGAAAAATTAAAAATTTTGAAAGATTTATTTTTCTTCTTCTTAGGACTACCTTGTAATGTAACTAATTTAAGAATACTAAACCTAGTTTCCACATGGTATGAAAGTTAAGTCAGAAGTCATCTGAAAGAATCCAGATTTGGAAAAGGCTTTAAAAATAAGTATGAAAGTTTCTAATTGTTTAAATCAATATTACACAAAGTAGTTTTAATGACAGAAAAAAACACACTTACAACTTCATATCTTGCAAGACTTTTCATGTTGAACAGTGCTTGAATAATTACAGAGAAAATGAAGATAGGAAATGTCGATGACATATTTTTGGTTTGAGCATACACAAAACAGGACCTTATTGATTGTCCAGTACCATCTTGCTGATGACACATTTGTGGTTTGAACATACACAAAACAGGACCTTATTGATGGGTCAGTAACAACTTGTTGATGACACATTTTTGATTTATACATACACAAACCAGGACCTTATTGATTGTCCAGTACCATCTTGTTGATGACACATTTGTGGTTTGAACATACAGAAAACAGAACCTTATTGATGGTTCAGTAACAACTTGTTGATGACACATTTTTGGTTTATACATACACAAAACAGGACCTTATTGATTGTCCAGTACCATCTTGTTGATGACACATTTGTGGTTTGAACATACACAAAACAGGACCTTATTGATTGTCCAGTACCATCTTGTTGATGACACATTTGTGGTTTGAACATACACAAAACAAGACCTTATTGATGGTTCAGTAACAACTTGTTGATGACACATTTTTGGTTTATACATACACAAAACAGGACCTTATTTACTGTCCAGTACCATCTTGTTGATGACACATTTGTGGTTTGAACATACACAAAACAGAACCTTATTGATGGTTCAGTAACAACTTGTTGATGACACATTTTTGGTTTATACATACACAAAACAGGACCTTATTTACTGTCCAGTACTATCTTGTTGATGACACATTTGTGGTTTGAACATACAGAAAACAGGACCTTACTGATGGTTCAGTACCAACTTGTTGATGACACATTTTTGGTTTATACATACACAAAACAGGACCTTATTTACTGTCCAGTGCCATCTTGTTGATGACACATTTGTGGTTTGAACATACAGAAAACAGGACCTTACTGATGGTTCAGTACCAACTTGTTGATGACATATTT